CGCTCTTTAGAAGGCCAGATACTGAAGATGAAACTCAAATACTTTGGCCACCTAATGAGAAGGAAGGACTCCCTGGAGAAGAGCCTAATGCTGGGAACAATAGATGGCAAAAGAAGGGGACGGCAGAGAAGGAGGTTGTTAGATGGAGTCACTGAAGCAGTTGGTGTGAGCTTAGGTGGACTCCGGGGGATGGTGGAGGACAGGAAGGCCTGGAGGAATGCTGTCCATGGGGCCGCGATGGGTCGGACATGACTTGCGACTAACAACAACAACAACTGACCTCCTTTCCTGGATTGTAAGCACTAGGATATGTGTAAAGCACTTTGAATGTGTAGGTTGAACTCTTGAATAATGCAGACCAGTACATCTATGCAAATCATCTGTGATCAGCCCATGTTGAGTTTTTTATTATTTCTCATAGGCGAAATTGTTTCCTTGCATTAAAATTAAGATTGTCTTGGTATCCAGGCCTTGTGTGAGTGTGCGCTTCAGACTCCATATGACAGTTTGAAACTGGGCATGTTATCTGTACTTTCCACACTTTCGGGGACAATAGCCATCAAGCAGTACTTCAGCCTTGCTCCAGGTATGAATAGTTTACATCAGCTCGATTTTGGCATGCTTTCATTTTTCTTCTTTCCTGATAATTTTGAACAGTTTATTTCTTTGGAAGGCTCTGGAATAGTTCGCACACTGTAGGGCTGATGTTAATCATGCTGTAAGTAATGACTGAAATTACGAATTATCTAACTTGGCAACTTTGACTAAAAATTGCCTGGGGCCAATTCCGTATACAAGTGGCTGCACAGGTAATGAAATACATGCTGAAGCAGATCAGTTCCATACTGCACTGCAGCTGCCTCTCATTTCAGTATTCCCAGACTACTCCTCTGTGTGCTATGTTGTTACACTAAGCTTCCCCAAACCTGGTGCCCTCCTGTTATGTTGAACTACAGTTCCCAGCATGCCTCAGTCAGCCATGCAGTGAGCACACACCGGTCAGGATTTGAACTTTGCAACAAGCTCATGGGACATGGTGGACTGAGAACTTGTGAGCTGTCCAGCAGACCAGCTTGCTTTCTGCCAGGGAGGGAGGTGCCTATAATTACACTAGGAAAGAAAAGATAGTGCTTAAATCAAGGCTATATCCCAGGGGTCAGAGCTTAGATAGATTTGGGATAGGATGGATATGGAGAGTGGCCAGAGATTGATTCAGATGTGTTGGACTATAGAGGAGCAGGCAGGCAGGCAGAGGGCCACAAATTTAAACTAGTAAAGAAAATACTGCGTGTCATTAATAGCACCACACTGATTCTAAGTATCCATCTCTCATTTAGGAACGGCAATGACTGCAGCAAGATCATCTGATCTGGTCAAGCTAGCACAGGAGTGCTGTTACCATAATAGCTGCGGTACTGCGGCTCACGGAGTCCGTGTTCTGACAAATATAGCTGCTTCCTGCCCAGAAGAAGGTAATTCTAAAAAGCATGGATGGGTTAAGTGTTGCAGTAAAGCCCTCCAGGTGTGGTGTAATGGTTTCTGTCTTGTGTTTGGCAAGCCAGGTGGTGCTCCTGTGAAATGCTACCTTTGCTGCCAAATTTGGGAGCCCATGCTAAATATTTTAACATTGGCTATTTTCTATTGCTGTTACAGTCTTTTGTTGAAATGAGTAGAAATCTCATTGGTTCACCCACTACTTGTACAAAGCAACTTCCCTGTTTAACTCCTAGAAAAACATTCCATTGCTTTGAGCCACTGCCTGACTTTTGAGATTTATCCAAAGTTACTAATGATTTAACGAATTGTTGCAAATTCCATGCATGGGGAATAAAGAACCTCAAAGCAAAGCACCCGTATCTCAGTGTCTGCCTCAGACAAGGAAAAATATAGGGCTTAGAGCTCCTTTCAGTTTGTCTTCTCCTGCCAGGGCTTGGATTTCCAACAGCCAGTTGAGCTATGGGGAACCCTTTGTAGGCACTGCTGTCTCAGCCCTAAATGTAGCTTCGTAGACCAAGTGTGCTCCTGACCTATCCCAGAAACACCATAAGACCTCTTGCCCTCATGAGACCTGGGACAAACACCCCTGTTCAAGTGGCAGCCAAGCAACTTTTGCTTGCTTGCCTTTGCCCAGTTGGAGCAATAAACTGTCCCTTTGTGGCCTAACCAGAACTTTCTCTCTCCCCATTGTCAATTTCTTTCACCTTTGGAGCTTGCCTTCATGGGCTGTTTCACCTAGCCTAAGTATTCCCTCTGCTAGCCCCCGCAATATAGGGTCACCACCTTAAAAATAATGACTGTGTTTCCAAGTTTTAATCAGTTTAATCAGCAAGTTAATTAAATTGCTAATTGCAGATTAAATTTCTTCTCTAATTAATTAGTGAAATTGTGATTGATGGGCACACCATAGTCCATATAGGCTGTTCAGGCATTCTGTTCTTTCCTGCACCAATTCACTTTTTTAAAAAAGTTCTAACGATGTTATGCTTTTCAGTTTGTAGGCAGATCTGACCTTAACCACTTAATCACCCTGGTGGCCTGCCTTGTAGCAATAAGAAAAACATGCCAGCTAGAATTGACTGCGTTTCAGTTAAAATCACTGTCAATACTTATTTAATTCTGATGGGATCTCAGCTTGTTTGTTTCTGAAACCACTTTGGTAGTACTTGCCACTGCATGTTTCCAAATTCATCTACATTTATGGAAAAGAGTATTTTTGACAAATGTCCTTTATCACAATCAGGAGTAGCATCATAACCAAATATATTAGTATTAAATCAATAAAGTTAATGTATATATCTTTGTCCTAGATCGTTTGCCATTGGAGCAAGATGCAGTCTTTGGCCTTGAATCCCTCCTTGTTCTTTGCAGCCAGGACAGCAGTCCTGGTACCCAAGCAACTTTGAAGGTAAATAACATATTTTCCCTCGTCTTGTCTAGGCTATGAATTCATGTAAAAGGAGTTGCAGTTAGGTGTTTATAGTGGGGGTGAGTTGTTTGTGGTCTGTTTTAAATACTTCTGCTACTAGCTACCTTTTGCATTAAAAGTGGAATTATCTGCTCAAACTATATAGAACTGAAACACTACAGAGTTGGGTCTCAAGTACTTAGCAAATCCCAAATGGGGAACTTGGGGAGGCATCAGGGAGAACTTGTGCACTGAGTTCCTGGAGAGAATGGCAAGAAAACCAACCAAGCCTGGATCCTTAATCTGCCACAGCAGATCATTTGACTAGCTCTGCCCTCAAAAGTGTTTCCAGATGAGGCCTACTTTCTAAGGTGCACAATAATGGATGCTGTTGCTCTTCCCTGGCTGCTGCTTCACTTCACCCTACCAACGTTTTCATGATGTTTTGTCTGGCCTTTGCTTTTGCATTTCCACGACTCACCCAGCATTTGCCTCACTGAGAACTTTCTGCCGTGTATAGCTGAGGGCTGACAGGCAGATACAGTAATGCCTTTATTGCGATAAATGGAGGTAGAAATATTTGTCAGGTGGGTGCCTTGTTTGTGTGGCTAAGATGTTCTGTGTAATGGTAAGAGGTAATGTTGTAAGCTTTGGTTGTACATCAGTCTTCCCCAATCTGGTGGTCTTCAGAGGCATTTGGACCACAACTCCCAGAATCCCCATCCAGCAGGGCTGTTGACTGGGAATTCTGGGTGTTGCAGTCCAAACATGTCTGGAAGGCATAAGGTTGAGGAAAACTTGTACATAACTTGAGTCTGTCTGGCTTATGTAAACGTGGCACAGGTAGAGGACCACATCAGAGGTGAGGCCAATGTTTACTTTGATGGGATTGACCTTCACATATCCCTAAAGTTGCAGCTTCAGATTTCTTTATTAGGTGTTTTTTTAAATGAAACTTTGTTACCACTAAATCTGTTAAAACTTCTAGTGTAAAATTTATTTAACAATAGCCCAATTTGGATATAACAGTTTAACACTGAAAACCTGTATTCACCATCCGCCTCCCCCTTCTGGTGTGACTGCAAGAAAATTAGGAGTACCAGTTTCTCGTTACATTCAACCTGGTAGTCTGGTTGATTTGAAGTTAAAACTGATTTGTGGAAATAAGACAGGGTCATAAACCAGCTTCATAAATCATTGAAACAAACTAGAA